CCCTCAAAGACCCCCCAAACCCCCTCCAGGACCCCCCAGGACCCCCCAAAAACTGCCACTCACGTGTTTTTTGGGGATGGGGGGGTGGCAGAGCGAGACCCCCGCGGCGATGGCGGCCGTGGCGAGGAAGAGGAGGGCGGCGAAGTGCAGGTAGTGGAGGCCGCAGAGCGCGCGTGGGCAGCGCCCCGGGGGGTCGCAGGACGCCCCTCCCCCACCCTGAGACCCCTCCCCACCTCCCCCACCCCCCCCCAGAGCCACCTCCGGGATCAGCCGCGCCAGGCCCAGCGCCAGCCCCCCCAGCAGCCCCCAAAAAGCGCCCTGGGGAGGGGGAAAAAGCACAAAATTAGGGGGAAATTGGGAAAAATCGACCCGAATTGCCCCAAAATGATGAAAAATCGACCCGAAATGGTCAAAAATCGACCCGAAATGGTCAAAAATTGACCCGAAATGGGGAAAAATTGACCCAAATTGCCCCAAAATGGTGAGAAATTGACCCAAAATGATGAAAAATCGACCCAAAATGGCCCCAAAATAATGAAAAATCGACCCGAAATGGTCAAAAATCGACCCGAAATGGGGAAAAATTGACCCGAAATGGGGAAAAATTGACCCAAAATAGCCCCAAAATGGTGAGAAATTGACCCAAAATGATGAAAAATTGACCCGAAATGGTCAAAAATTGACCCCAAATGATCAAAAATCGACCCGAAATGGCGAAAAATTGACCCAAAATGAGGAAAAATTGACCCCAAATGAGGAAAAATTGACCCAAAATGGGAAGAAATTGACCCAAAATGGGGAAAAATCGTCCCAAAATGGGGAAAAATTATTAGCCCCTATTAATCACTTATTAGCCCCTATTAATCACCTATTAACCCCTATTATTTACCAATTAGCCCCTATTAATCACCTATTAGCCCCTATTAATCAGTTATTAACCCCTATTAATCACCAATTAGCCCCTATTAATCACCAATTAACCCCTATTAATCACCTATTAGCCCCTATTAATCCCCAATTAGCAGCCCCTCCCCCCCCCAGCCCTGCCAGCCCCCCCAAAAAGCGCCCTGGGGAGGGAGAAAATGGGGGAAATTAGAGAGAAATTGGGAAAAATCGACCCCAAATTGTCCCAAAATGATGAAAAATCGACCCGAAATGGTCAAAAATTGACCCGAAATGGTCAAAAATTGACCCGAAATGATGAAAAATTGACCCAAATTGCCCCAAAATGGTGAGAAATTGACCCAAAATGATGAAAAATTGACCCAAAATGGCCCCAAAATAATGAAAAATCGACCCGAAATGGTCAAAAATCGACTCGAAATGGTCAAAAATTGACCCAAAATGGTCAAAAATTGACCCAAAATAGCCCCAAAATGGCCTGAATTGGACCAAAATGGTCAAAAATTGGCCTAAAATGGTCAAAAATTGACCCAAAATGATGAAAAATTGACCCAAAATGGCCCCCAAATGACCCCATTAATCACCTATTAGAGCTATTGATCATTATTAGCCCTTATTAATCACTTATTAGCCCCTATTAATCACCTATTAACCCCTATTATTTACCAATTAGCCCCTATTAATCATAATTAGCCCCTATTAATCAGTTATTAACCCCTATTAATCACCAATTAACCCCTATTAATCACCAATTAGCCACTATTAATCACCAATTAGCCCCTATTAATCACCTATTAGCCGCTATTAATCCCCAATTAGCAGCCCCTCCCCCCCCAGCCCTGCCAGCCCCCCCAAAACGCGCCCTGGGGAGGGAGAAAATGGGGGAAATTAGAGAGAAATTGGGAAAAACTGACCCGAAATTGTCCCAAAATGATGAAAAATCGACCCAAAACGGGGAAAAATTGACCCAAAATGGTCAAAAATTGACCCAAAATGGTCAAAAATGATGAAAAATTGACCCAAAATGATGAAAAATTGACGCAAAATGGCCCCAAAATGACCCCATTAATCACCTATTAGAGTTATTGATCATTATTAGCCCCTATTAGTCATCCATTAACCCCTATTAATCACCTATTAACCCCTATTAATCACCTATTAGAGCTATTAATCACTCATTAGCACCTATTAATCACTTATTAGCACCTATTAATCACTTATTAGCCTCTAATAATTGCTAGTTAACCCCTAATAACAGCCAATTAGCCACTATTAATCATCCCCTGACCCCCATTAAAAGACACAAATCGACTATTTTTCGACCAATAATTCAAATATTTCACCCAATATTTCACCCAATAATTAATCCCCCAATAATTAATCACCTAATTAACTCCCAATTAACAACCTCCCCCAATAATAAAGGGGCACTCAGGGGCTCCTCATCACCCCCTGACCCCCATTAAGAGCCACTAATTGACCATTTTGACCCATTTTTCACCCAATAATTCAAATATTTCACCCAATATTTCACCCAATAATTAATCCCCCAAATAATTAACCCCCAATTAATTAACCATCCCCCAATTAATTAACCATCCCCCAATTAAGAAGGGGCGACTCACGGGCTCGTCATCACCCCCTGACCCCCATTAAACGCCACTAATCGCCCATTTTCCACCATTTAATCACCCAATAATTAATCACCAAATAATTAATCACCTAATAGTTAATCACTCAGTAATTAATCACCCAATTAACACCCAATTAATTAACCCCCCCAAGAAAAAAGGGTCCTTACCCCCCCC